GAAGAAGATTGTGGGGTCCTTGGTGCTCTCTGAGCTTGGTGGTATTCTTGCAGATATTTTCACGACCCAACTAGGGAACATCATCAGTGCTAGAAGGGAAGGGAAATGTGGAATTGAGGAGGAGGGCTAGGACTGTAAGGTCCTTGGTGCTCTCTGAGCTTGGTTGTTTCCTTGTAGACGCTTCATGACCCAACCAGGTAACATCTTCAGTATGGAGTACAGAGTTTGCTCCTCGTAGTTTGCCCCGCAGTCAGCAATCAATACCCTGGTGAGCGGCTCTTCCTCCGGTCTGCCAAGGTTGCTCTCACATCCCGGTTACAGAAATATAACCTATTTTTGGGCTCTGTTGCATTTCCGGTTTCAAAATAATCGCAAGCTGTGCTGCCAATTTTGGCCAACTGTGCATTAAATTTGGCAGTGTGGTTGGGGAAATATAAGACACCCATGCAAAGAGGGGGGGCGGAGAAACGGATATGAGGGCTGCATACATCCAGGGGTTGCCAGGGGTTTGAAAAGCAGCGTAATTGCCCCCCATTCTGTATGTTCCACCAGAATAAACCTTGCACCGCACTTCCAAAGGGAAGGTAGCTGGTTTCCTGAGAACCTATATGCCTTGGCACAGTTTCAGCTCTGGCACCCTTTTAATAATTGGCATTCAGTTCGTCCTGTCTGCTTTGGGCCATGCTGGCACCAATCAGGCGCCAGTCAGTCAGGGCTGGCAAAGTGCCACAGCAGAGACTGGACAGATCCGGGGCCTCTGCCCTACCCAGCTTGCAAAATCTGTCTCGGGCGAGGACGCAACAGCGCCTCTTGCATATGGATGGGAGACGCAGCAGCCCTCGTCAAGACGGGCATTGCTCAACGTCAGAGGGTGTCGGCTGGTGCCAGGCCTCGTGGGAGTGGAGTCGAAAGAGCGATCGGGCAACTTCTCCTTCCATCCTTAGCAGGGAATGAGTCACCGCATTCAAGTAACCCTCGGATGGGGCTGAGAGATTGGCTGGTGAGGTGGTGGTGGGGAAGTTAGGAAAGATTCTCCGCAGGATCGAATCAAATCCAGATTCTAAATCTCAGAAGTCAAGGAAGGAGGACGTTGCTCAGGAAGCTTCCTTTCTAAAGAGAATTTTATTTATTTATTTAGTTTGTCGAACATGTATGAGACAGCAGGTATAAGCATAAACATGGACATGAACACAGGAAATGGGTACAAACAAACAGGGCAATAGGACAGGGACGGAAGGCACGCTGGTGGGCTTATGCATGCCCCCTTTACAGACCTCTTAGGAATGAGGTGAGGTCCACGGTGGACAGTTTGAGGTTGAAGCTGTGGGGGGTTTCAGGATGTAACAATGGAGTCGGGTAGAGAATTCCAGGCGTTGACCACTCTGTTCCTGAAGTCGTATCTTCTGCAATCGAGTTTGGATCAGTTTACCTTGAGTTTGTATCTATTGTTTGCCCGTGTATCATTGCGGTTGAAGCTGAAGTAGATGTTGACAGGTAGGACGTTGTAGCAGACAATTTTGTGTACTATGCTTAAGTCAGACCCTAGTAGTTCCAGGTTGCCCAAAATTTTGAGAATGAAATGGGCTGCCTTGTCCTTATTTAGCAACAAGTGGTCCAAGAACACTGGACATTATTTAGACAAATGGCCCCTGTGTGAGCATTGTGAGATCCTTGGTGCTCTCTGAGCTTGGTGGTTTTCTTGCAGACATTTCGTGACCCAACTAGGTAACATCATCAGTGCAGGAAGGAAGTGAGGTTTGCTCTTTGGTTATACACAGTAATTTCTCCTGCCAGTGTTGATGAAGGTGTGATTTTTTTTCTTCTTGGTACTTCCTTGATCAGAGTATTGTTTTCTGCTTGATTTGTTTGTGTGGTGTTAATCCCTGTTTATCTGGTTACTGGTTGATGGGCGCTGGTTTCAGGGCAAGCCGCTGGATATAAACAGGGAGTTATCCCCACACTCCTTCACACTGATGATGTTTCTTAGTTGAGTGGTGAAATGTCTGCAAGAAAGCGACCAAGTTCAGAGAGCACCAAGGACTCCACAGATTCCATTCTTCTCCAACTCCCCCTCCTCTACTCTGCAAGCTCCACTTTCTTTTAACATTGATGATGTTCCCTAGTTGGGTCGTGAAATATCTGCAAGAAAACCACCAAGCTCAGAGAGCACCCAGGACCCCACAGTTCAACCCAGAACTACAAACATTCTCTTTGATTGGTTATTGCGTTCAGACAACTCTCTCTCCAACCTGCAATCTCACTGCCATTCCTTATTCAATCTTGTCCTCTTTGCTTGGAAAGGTGTTCTCTAGGGGGGAGGGAGCAAAAAGTAACAACCCAACAATAGTTTCACTTCCTCTTCTTTTTCACGATCCCTTGTTTCCTCTGCCTGGTTTGCAGCCACCCCTTCTCCCTCATTATTTTCAGCCCTGTTCCTCTTTTGAAGGGCACCGTGAGCTAATCGGGAAATCACAGAGTTGATACGATGTGCTTCATGTGCAACCAAATGAAGTTGGGGGTGTTGGAGTCACTTCCTACAGAGTTTCTTCAGTTTTTCATAAGTAGGCTCCATAATCCCATCAAGATGATACGGGGCTGGTTTCGTAAAAATGTGAATTCTTGGGCTTCCCATGTTTTGAAAGAAGTTGGGTATGAATAAGATGTTGAGTCCTAGCAAATATGGTTACTCTTTTAAGTTTGAACACAGTGCCATTCGCCACCCAGAATCTCTGCAACAGTGAGATGGGCTGCCAATAAATTAATAATAATAATAATTAGGGTGCCGTCGGCCATACAGTGTCAGCTAGTGACCCTCAGGGGGAGAGCCTTCTTGTGAGAGCGCCTTCCCTCTGGAGTGAGCTGCCCCCGGAGCTTCGCATAATCCCCGACCTCCGGTCCTTCCGACGCGCTCTAAAAAGTTGGCTTTTCCAGCAAGCCGGCCTGGCCTGAACAAAATATAATAAAATAAATGATTGATTATTGTTAATTTTAATCGAATTTTAAATGCTATTGTTAATCTTAATTGGGTTTGTTTTTGGATACTCTATCTAATTTTCTTTTTAACTTTTGTAATATGTGGTTATTTTTTTAATGTTGTACTGCCGCCCTGAGTCCTTTGGGAGAAGGGCGGCATATAAATCCAATAAACAAACAAACAAATAATACTCGTCCAAACCAGTAGGAACCCACCTCTGAAGAGCTCCAGCTTCTCAACTTCATTTTCATTGAGTCTTTCTATTCACAACTAAGCAGTACTTATTTTATTTTTGCTGAACAATCCTTTGT